TCACGGATAACTGAAATGTAAATTTCACTATAGGATAACATGAAGTAATTAAACTGAACACGAGACACAATGATCAACACGCATTTGTCGCATATATACATGACTTTCTTCATGGCAAAATATGTGGACTGAAATTCGGGTGCGGACGATGTACCCAAGATTATACAAACATCCCAAAACATCAATATATTTATATTTTTAATGGGCAAGATTTCCCCTTGTATATAGGCCGCATCTTACTTTGAAAGTTTTCCTTGCCCCTCTCAATAGACAAATAAAAATCACGGTGAAGTCTCTTATTGCACGAATACGGCAAAAAGTATCATAAATGGAGAAAAATATCAGGTATTCACGAGAGTAAGTCTAGTTCAGCGTACTTCAGGAATGAAAGTCGAACATGTACAATTTTTTAAAGAGGCGCGGTCAATCGATATTCTACTTTACCTTTATGTATGAACAGGAATACATTTGCAGATAATTTCATCGTGATTAGTGAAAAAAAACAAAACAAAAAAACTGATGACACCGCACTCATTTCCTTGGCTGAAGAACTTACAACGTAGAGATTGTGCGAGTATATTCGGAGATTCCCTGCCTTTCAGAGATGAGCGATCAATTCGAAAGTTGTGATTTATTTTGAATAACTCCACATTTAGTCATGAAATAATAAAAGGGCGCTGTTGGGCGGAAATCTCGGCTTTGCTCCGATTTTACGGATATTTTGAACGAAAAAGTTCTCCGAAAAACACCTCGTGTGAACGAATCGTTTCTTATCATGTACGTTAGAGTGTATCTAATTTAAAAACAGCAAATCCTTGCATGAGAGATTAGCCCCCACTCATGGGCTGAAATTTTTCGCGCACCTCCCGCCCTCCTCCTCATTAAAAAAAAACTTAGCTTACGAAAACGTCATGAATTCGTCGCCGTGCTTGCGGCACTTTTTATAAAACGTCCAGATATTTGTAGCACTTTTGATTGAAGCACCATGGTCATTACAGAATGGGAAAGGGCCACTTTATGGAGAACGTTTGTCACAAGCGTTTTCGCGTCACGTCGACTGTGACAATCGTGATGGTGTTCTTGTCACGATCAAGCTAAAGAAAAATTTGCCGCAGCACGATGCTCCCCACCTAATTTTTATCCAACTTGAAAGATAGAAGGAAAGGGAGAATGAATAGGTAGATAGATAGAGCAAGAGGGGGAATAAGGAAAGCTTCCGCTGCAAGCAATACCGTCTTACCACCAAGCTCAGGAAAGAAGAGAAGAAGAAGAAGAAGAAGAAAAAAAAAGATTGGTTACTCGTGGTGCGCTCGCTGGCCTTAACCTGATGCGGCCGCCGCGGTCATCTCGCGGGATTCGAACTCCAGCTCGCTCAGCCAGGATTTAAAAATTCCCTTCTGATCATCAAGAATCATGCTCCGCATGACGCAACACAAACCCTCTCTCGCCCCCCTTCCCCAGGTACTCAATTTCCGACAACAATTACCTCGTTGCACGTTTGCTCTCGCATGTAATTGATATGCCGTATACATGAAGACCGTGCGCCAGAAATCCCGCGCGTGATCCGATCCGCCGCCGAGGGTGAGAAATACGGATTGGGTCAATGGAAGCGTTGATGATTGTAATGACCAGAAAAGAATATTATTACTCGAGTTCCCATGCATCAAAACCTCACGCATCGTAGGGGACCGCAAAATCGACTTTCCTGGAAATGGATCCGATTTTTCTTCTTATTTCTGCGGCGGATGGATCTTAATTAGCCAAGATTGACCAACGCTATAAACGTTATCCTCAAAAGCCAACGTAGCGATGCGTCGTCTTTTATTTGTTTGAGGAAGTTTCGAAGGTAGTGGTATTTTATTAGAACTCCGAATGCGTGTGTTGGTAGTGAAATCATTCGCCGTGTCACGCGTGCGCATTCCGCGAGAACTTTGATGGGAAAACGAATTAAATTTGATTTGCTCGAGGGAAGGGACATGAAAGCAAAACAGGCAATGAGGACGATACCTTGTTGAATTTGCTGAACTTGCTGGTACTGTTGGACCTGCTGAATCTGCCGCTGTTGCTGCATTTGAAACTGCTGGGTTTGGTACCCAGTCGTGGTTATCTCCGTGCCCCCGATGGCCTGTGGTCTCCGGGACCCGAATGGACCCGAGCCATCAGCAGAGATAACCTCTTGTTTAGTCATGACCGAGCTGGTCTGACGATGTTCCTGTTGCTGGCGAGTGCCGCCAGCGACTTGCACGGTGCGCTGTTCCATGGTCTTTGAGTGCGATTCCACGCATTTCTGCTGCACGAAGCCCCCACCCCGTTGCTCCATGACAGCAGCCCCCTCGTCACTCGTAAAATAACTTTCACGATCGCAGCTTATTAAATCTGGTTAACACATCTACACAACATAAAGAACGGGCTTCATCGAAGTCGGTTCGAGTTCGAACTAAAAGCTAAGCACTGGGCACGCACGTCGTCGCGAGTTGCGTCTCGAATATAAGTTGGAACCCTGGCGGACGAATTGTTACATCTCGTGAGTTCAGTCAGCGAAAAAATACTTCGGAGACGAGCCGATCGACGGGGCCGGCCAGCTGCGTCCGCACAACACCGGAGAAAGATCCGCACTGAGGCCCTCTGCGGCCCGGCTTTGGTTTCCTTGCTCGTTCCGCGGCTCCCTCTCTGGTGCTTATTTTGGCAGCGGGCAGTCAGGCTGACTCAGCAGCGACTACCTGGCTTCCTAATCAACGAAGATCCTCAACTAGGAAAGCTCGCTGAAAGAAACTGTCCCCTCGGGACCTGGTGAAAGGCTGTAGTGTCGAAATTCGCCGAGAACGAAGCCGAAGGTTTTGCGGCGGGACTTCGAATGCAACTGATCGCACCCCTATCAAGCCGGGCATTGTACGGACCAGACAAAACACGAGAGAGGGAGAGAGATACCACGACAAAGGAAAAAAGAAAGCATATGCAATCGGGCACCTAGCCCTGCATGCTCGCGACCTGGAAATTCGCCATGGCTAAAAATACTTCCGACCATCATGCCAGCGAGTCACCGGGCGACAGGAACAGGTTTCAAAATTCTCCCCACCTTCCGACTCGGGTCCACCTTCTCGTAGAGATTTCCTTCTGCATCCGTCTTTCCCCAGCAAGCACGCGCAAGTCAACATCCATCCCATTCCCCGTGCTTTCCTTCCCGAACGCTTCTTCCGTTCATCCGAACTTCCCGTTCTCCATGAATTCGGAGGGTACTGAAAACACACTTCCGCGTCCGGGACCGAAGGTATTTATCTTCGGTCCGTCCCGTGAATGCGTTAAACTTCGAACGCATCGCGTACGCTGGCCGAATTTCTCTCGGATTTTCTCAAGCATATTAGCGTACTCCGACTGGGCTTCATGGATTGTTCATTTCCGGGGACGAAATCGAAGGCGAGGCAAGCAGAAAACAAAAAGGCTTCCTCGAAGGCATGGGCACGTTTTTTGCTGATCAGAAAAAAATCGTCCGCATCGAGGCGTCATGTAGAAAATTTGGTCGGCAGGCGGAAAGGCACGCCGCGACACCCTCGCGGGCGGAAGAGGGGGAAAAGCTTTCGAGACAACGTGATTTCTCCAGCTTTTTGAGTCATTCGTGCTCGGGCTTTGCGTCGCACGGTATTTTTGGCTGTCGCGTCGACCTGGCACTTGATACTTAGGCGTTCGCCTGGACGCGAACCAGCCGGGGAAACCAGGTGAAAAGAATGACAACCGGTTCCAAAATGCTTTCCAGATTAATCGATAATTAATAGCGTGCAATCAAGTTGCCGAAAATGAGCCAAGTCTCAAGGAGAGTTCAGGTATTGATACAGTAATGGAATTTTTTAATCCAGTACTTATTTACTCCTTGTACCACGTGCACCTCAGCTCCCACAACTTCAAAAAAAAAGTCGTCACACGGGAATGAAATATGACGGGCATCAAGGGTAATTTTCCGAATACTGTAATATGGATGGATGTACGCATTATACAAACATGCGTAGTACAAAAGAAAACTCAGGATTTTCTCATCCTCTCTCGGCTTGAGAGAATAGTTCTGATCAGCCGGATTGATGCAGAATTTATGAAGAGAGCTTGGTGCGTCTCTTGTGTCGATAATTCAAGGTCTTAAGGGAGCAACAAAATCCATTAATTCAGGAGAAATTGAATGGAACCATACTGTCACATTTATGAATTACTGGGTCCCTTAATATTCAGCATGTTTTTGAAAATCAAGGGAAACCCCCGTTGACAAATATTTGGTCTAATTGGTTAAAAAAGAAAGAAAGAAAGAGTGAGAGAGAGAGAGTAAACTTTTACTCGTGCAAGACTTGGCATCGCTGTTCTTACTCGAGTCTCTTTTTTATTTATTCCCGTGATCTGCAATCACTCATCTACGAGGAAACCTAAAAGTCAAGGTGAAGTCATGACATAAAAATAGACCTTAACTGTTTTCCATATGCTCAGATGTCATGGACACTCACTATCGCATTTTTGCGAGAGACTTTTCTTGAAAATACCTGTACTTTCGCAACATTGTGGTGCAGCAGTACAGTAAATGACGCATCTGACTATTTTGAGAATTTTGGGCCGAAGTGATGAAACCGTGTGTCGCTGGAAGTTTCACTTGGCAGAAAACCTTTGTTCGCTCCAGATTTCGTCCGAAAAATTCGTAAAATATTTCCTGCTTTTGCGTAACTAGGGCTTCTCTGACGGGGTTCCGTGTTACGACCTGTCAACGTGTTGCGCACATCTGCGGCAGGATTTCTGCAGTAATTTACGTGAAAAAAGCTCGAGTTTTTCTGTCGACCAGGTGAAATAAATAATGAGGGCGTGGAGAGAGTCTTTCTTGAACGAATGCCAGGAGATGGATTCAATTTTTTCTGGCTCGCGCGTGGCCCTGTCGGTGAATCATCTCTATTCTCTTCATGGACTGCATCAAGTTTTCAAAAAATTTTAATACAAAAATTGATATGCTGCAGTGGGATTCAAGGGCTCTCTAATCAAAGGATTGGCAGCAGTGACTTCGGAGATTTCGTGCCTGCATCGCCGCGGCGTGTTTCGCGAGACTTTCCAGCAAATGTCGCCGCTGTAGTAGCTTGTCGAAAATCCGAGTCAGTCTCATTTGCGTTTGTTCTGTTTTCCGTTATGCAGCACGGCTCAACAGTTGATGCAAAAAATTCGTCGTCGGTCGCGAATTCAGAGGAACGCGGCGGAGTCATCTTGGCTCGAAGCCAGATGCCCGCTGTCCAGAAATTTCTCCCTTGAAACGCTACTCGGTTGTCTTTTCTGAACTCGTTAAGATTTCCAATGGCACTGATTCAACCAGCAAGAATTCCATTTATTCTTCATCGCGTAGGAGAAAGTAAAGCTAGGGACACAAAAAAGCACGTAACATGTATTGCCGTACTTCGAATACCACGACGTTCGCAATTTCGATGCCAGCCAGCGCTACAAGCTTAATAAAAGCGAAACAAATTGAAAACTTCCCTTTGCTTTCCACCCTCTCGCGGCCAACACGTTCTTCCGCCGCAATCAACAAATACTTATCCCATTCCCTCTCTAGCCCTCTTTGGCAATCAAGCATCAATAAAATCCGTCCCAACGCTTTCCACTTTGGGTCAACACTTATTTGTGACAACAAAATAGTGTAGCCATTCGTTTCCCTGACAGTGCCTCTCCTTTAAGTTTGATAGAACCTTTCGTGGAATACAGTTAAACTCTCTATGATAACACTCAGGGAATCAAAAGTGAGTTTTTATGCAGAAAATATCATCGCAAAAAAGCAGCATTACCATTAGGTTTGTTAGGCCGAAAAAATAATAGGTGCGCGGAGAATTTTTTAGACAATCGAATCAGCTGTGGGAAAATTACCTTCGCTGAATAAGTTTAAAATTTTTCGTGGGATTGCAGAACCGGTAATTAAATCATTTTGACGTCGGAAAATTTTCCTCAACCCCCCCCCCCCTCCCCGCACTAAGGGATGCCCAACGAATACCCCGATTTATACGTGCTCAAAAAATAAAACGAACTCAATTAATACCCTCATGATTGTTTTCTCGAAATCTTCGAATTTCATTTGCTCTACTTATCGTTGAGCGTGATTGATTCGAGGCTTCTTTTGCTGTGTGATTTTATTTTTTCAAATATTGCTGAGAAATTAAGCTTGCTTTAGTAAAAGGCTTCTTGTGCACAGGCACATTAGTAAAAAATTAAGTTTAAATCAGGTTTTCTTCGGATCTTTTTATGAGTGCCATGCGGTGAAAAAGGAACGTGTTATGTGTTCGACTCCTCTTTTTTACACGCTGATGGAGGCATTAACGCAGCGAAAAAACTTGAGAACACCGGCTGAGCGAAGTATGGAAACCGAATTCGGAAATCGCTCGAAATATGGTACAGGCAATGAGTAGAATTCTGAAATTTCCGCCACCACTTGGATGAATGTGTGGATCGTAAATGTTGACAGAAGAATCCCGCCACCTGAAGGCTCAGAACGAATCATCGACGGATACCTGAGCAGACGAGCTTGCACAAGCTTTCGGCGATTCCATGATCGTTGCGTGCCGAACACTTGTAAACCCCTTCATCCTCTGATTTCAGCGCAGTGAATAGAACAAAAGAGAAGCTCAATAGCCGTCCCTATTCGAATAGGTACGCTGACGATACCATACGTACCTGGGTAAACTTGGGGGATTTGCAGTGTACAGATTCCATCAGCAAACTTGATCTCATGGTCAGGCGAACATTTGACAGCGTGTTCATTCCTATACCAAATAATGCTACTCGGTTCTGGGGGACACTGGATGGTGCATTCGAGTACCGCTGGTGCCCCTGGTTTAACCATCATTTCTTCTGGAAGATTCTGTGGAAAGAATCGTTGAAACAAAGATGAGACTATGGACTGTTACATTTTTAATGCGCGCAATGGACGACTGTAAATTCTTAGTTTTTTATTTGTAGCCATCAGCAACCTCCAAGGATGTCGAACTTCAATAATAATAATTTGAAAAGTTGTATTTAAGTTCCCTGTATAAATTGGAATTTTTTCCGGAAGCTTACCTTGACAAACTTCGGTGCCATGGACTGATCGTCACGTCGCTGATGATCGATTCCTGAAAGTTTGCGATCAAGATGATTTATGGAGTTGCGTTCAAGGTAGAAATCTAAAAAATGTTACCTTCTTTTGACCCGTCCTCATTCGGTTTCACTAAACCAAATTCATAACCGATGTCGTATTTGAAGTAAATTATGCCGTAATCCGACGCATCTGCTGAAACGGTGTCTGTGGAAAAAAAAAATATTGAAATCCAATTGGACCCGAGCAACCTGACTTATCTGTGAGTTCTACTATTATATTCGTGTCCCAACTTTTGGAACCAAGTGCATTACTGTATTGCAGCTAAAGTCAATGCACCATTTAACTGAATGTATGTTTATCACAAAATCTTTTTTTTTCCCGAAGATCTGACAGTTTGGAAAACTTATAATACTTTCATTGAGATCTGAAGCAAGATTGCTTACATTTATTCAGGGTTTTATTGGGAAATGATCGAGAATTTATCTCACGTACCTGTGATTACTTGGAAGAATGAATCGTTGGACTGATCCGGATAATCAAGGCTTAATTGCATTTTAATCAATATGCTGATACCATATGCCACGAAGCAACGTAATTAGAACTAGCTGTACAATACAGTACAGTACTGCTATTCATGTCGATGATTTCAAAGCTTTTACTTCAACTCAATTATACTGTACATCCTAATTAACACATGAGGATTATTGCATGTGTAAGATTATTGATATGTAATACTCACCAGTTTTCGGTTCCTTATTATCCAAAATATCGATAGACTGTGGCGGGACTTTGATTTCCGGAATTTTCTCCTCGGCGACAGCAGCAGGAATTTGCGGAAGAAAAGTTGTTTTCATGCTAGAGCTGTCATCGTGCGTCATTTTCTCATTCTGGAATACATGGGTGAGAAGAAAGTCATTAGGAAGATGGGTCTTCGCACCTCTGAAATGTTGTTGTTTAGAAGTGGATATTTCGGTTCAAAAAGCTAAATTAGATTCCAGGGTGAAGCCATTCATCATCACCTGGTCCCTTGCGTGAAGGCGATACGGACTCTCAGTGTCGGGAACGTCGTCACTTGAGCTCCTGGGGTCCACTGAGCAGTATTCGGGTCTCTCTACGAACAAAAACGAATAAGAATTAGGACATCATTCGGTGTCTCACGCTCAGCGGATTCATTTCAGCGTTCAGTGAAAAACCTTCGGGTCCTCGTCGCAGCCTTGGCATGTAGCCGATTTCCGGTGGAGGCTCAGGAGCGAGGATGAATCCTATCCCAGAGGCTGTGCTTCCGAATCGTTTCGATTCTACATGTTCAACGCCGTCGCTCTGATGATGATACGAGGTCGTGCCGTGTTCCCATACCGCGTTTTTATCGACGTGTATCACCGAGTCCGAAATCACGGCTGTCGTCGGCTGAAGTTGAGGTGCGCCTAGTTTCTTTTCCGCAGCACTTTTTATATACGATGCAACAGTCAGCTAAAAAAAAACAAAACAATATATTATAGAGTCATAGTGTATTTTTTTAACGCTTAAGAAGGACTTCGTGCGTTTTAATTTTTAAATGCACTACTCAGCAATGCCAGCAGAAAAAATAACAGTTCTGAAATGCAGTAAACAAGTAGCAAATTATAAATGCCTGAACTGCAGATGTTTTGTGGATTATTTTGTGTTATCCGATACGTTTTATGGAATGATAAGACTTTTTTGTTAGCAGGCTACAGAAATGAAAAATGATTACCGAATATGTGCCTATATAACAATTTGAAAGGCTATTTTGAACAATGCCACCTGGATGCATCCATATATAATAAATTATCGGAAGAGCGAGTGTACACTGTCCAATATTATTGAATGTCTCCACATCACTGCTTAAAAATCCTGGATAATCGAATCGATGGCAAGTTTATCATATAGTGATCTGATATAATCATCATCATATCAACATAAGCATCGATATAAGATCAACATAAATATTCAACCCAAAATGAAGAAACTCTAGAAATACTGTAATAAATACTTAAACTTGGATTCATGAAATTCTGGTTCGTAACATTTACGTTTAATTTTGAAGGGCACGGTTTTCTGAATTCTCGGGTAATCAAAATACCTGTACTAATATTCGAGGTTCTGCTGCATTCACAAATCACAACTCACTTATATATTTTGGAATTTTTTTATTTATGCAACTATTACCATGACTGAATTACAGATATTGAAGATTCAGTCAGGTGATAGGCATGTTCATACTTCAGCAGAATTCATCACTGTTGCCGTAAAATTGTGGAAATACTCACACTTTCTGTGGGAGGATGAGGCCAGGGCTGTTCATCTGAAGCAGGTGCCTTAATTGGTTTGAACCATTTTGGTTTTTGTGTCACGAAGCTGGGACGGTCAGATTTTTCGGGAATTTTCGGGGAGGAACTTAAAGCTTCTAATTTTGCAGTGATTTCTTGGACGGATAATTTCCTTTCTCGTTTTCCATCAAATATTTCCCCGCCTTCGGACGAAATCCAACGTTTCTTTGAAGTCTGCGGGAAATCTTCGATTCCACTCGAGGCTGATCCAGTGAAATCAGCAACCTAATGCGGAAATTTATCATGCAAAATATTAGAACTGCGATGCGTAGAAATCCATTTGAGCGTCGATATTTGAAAAAAAGCATATTTGTTAGTCAAGAAGCCCCAAACCTCGCTAGAAAATGGTGATCGATATTGCTCGACGTGTGGCGCAGTGGTGCTAGTAGTTCGCTGTGTACAAGAAGCAGTTTTTTCGCAAGCTGAAGATAATCTCGGACGAACAGGTCGGAAGTGCTTGTCATCAGCATCACTGTCGTAGGCTGAATGCATCCATTTTGTGGCCGCTTTGCCGGAATATTTTTCCTCTCCCGAGGTATAACCTCCATCGCTCGACGACGCACGCGGTATGAACTTTTTCGGGCGAGGCAGCGACAGAGACACTTTCCTATGCGCTGGTTTCCACTTTTTGTGCTCTTCCATTTCATTGTCCGTACTCATGGGTTCCGGAGTCAAACTAGATTTGATGGATAGTGGCTCGTATTTTTTGAATTCCTGCAGCTTTGTCAAGGGGTCAGGCTGTGGGCGGAAAGGTGCCTGCTCAGGTAATTTGCGTTGACTCTGTGGAACTATCGATGGCGGTAGTAGTCTCACGGCGCCTGGAATTTGCTCCGGGGCAAGTTTCAGCTTCCCGTGATGTCTTTCTTCCGAAGCTTGACGTGCCAGGATTTCCCTGAGCTCCTTAACGCTATTCGAACGTTTCGCTTGCTTGGGTTGACGAGTGATCGGTACTTCGTTACTGCTGTCGCCTTTAATGAAGCTGGATACCTGAGTCGGCGCCGGTACTGAAGTCGTGGAGTGGAACTTCGATTCCGTGCGCCGAAGGTTATTCGTGTGCGGCGTGAACCCGAGTTCGATGCCGTCAGGCGTGAGTTGAGTCATTGAGTGCGATACGGTGCGAGCTATCCACGCGGGACCCTGTGGGATAGACGCTTCTTCCCCGTCGGATGCTGCTCGGCGGTCGGCAGCTGGTTGCCACTTGAATCGCAGTGGTTTCTCGGCAGAGGACATTGGGGTAAATTTTCCTGGATGCAAGCAGGGTTGCGTGTTTCTCTGCTCGCCTTCGCTGTCTGAGGCGCAGGTGAATCTGGTGAGCGTTTTCGTGATGAACTCGGCTTCGGCCCGTCGTCGGATGGACTTGCTGCGACGGTCGGAATGCTCTGGGTCGGATGTGTACGCCGCGTCTTGAGAGAAATCTGAGGCTTGAACCCTCTGTCGCTCACCGTGCAATGAGAAACGAGGAAGTACCACCACCGGACTAGCTACGCGAAGCTCGGTGCGATGCAATTTAGTGTGAGTGCTTTTTGCCCATTCCTCTTTCTCGAAGCTTCCGTCAATGGTCATCTGGGCAATAACGTATTTTAATTTCCCTCGAGCTAAAAGCTCTCACAAAAGCACGACTGACGAATAAGGTACTCTCGTACAGCATTTTCTCTTTGGGATAAATTGCGTTGATCCTCTGATATACCGTATTGAATGTAATTTCATTGCAAATTATACGACCAAAGCACAACTTCGAATTTTCCGAGCTTCTACACCACCCCTACCCCATTTCAAAATCGATCAGAATAAGCCAACGAGCGGCCTTTCATATTTTTCAATTTGAAATGTTTTATTCATTCAGATGGAATTTAATTCTATGTTGAAATTTATCTCGAAGCATGATCAAACTTGTGAAGAAAAAATTAAATGATCGCATTAAGATAAAAAATATAGAAAATGGGATTTTTTTCCAAAGAACAGTTATATTTGAAGGCACACGATAAATGGGTTGATTTTTAAGATTTACTGTTAAGTATACGTATATAGTTGGTGTTAGACCACCTTACAGTCTATTTTTCATCACAGAGGGCTTTCACATTTACATTTATGGGAGAAATACATATTTGGCTATCCTGATGGAGATAGTAGGTTTACTGGTCCAGGTACAGTAATCGGTGTTCTTCTTAAATCAGTATACCGTGGAAGATGTGGTTTTGATAGAGAGCTGTTACTTTCGAAAATTGGGAAGTACCATTTCAATGCATAAAATATTTGAGGAGTGTAAACCGCGTGCAAGCCAGAGACTTCTTTAGAAGTACTATACAACCGGAACCAGCAGTGTTCGTGAAGCAAAGAAATCAGAATCAATCTTACGAATTTTGCTGTCGACCGCGACATTTTCGGAGACTTTTCTGGGCTATTTGGCTGAGGTTTCAAGACCGTTGGCTGAATCACTTTTTGAATTTCGACGGTAGCAACGGAGTGCGCCTCGCCTACGGCATTTTTCGCTCGAATTTCGTAGCAACCGGCGTCGATCAGAGACACTGGAAATAAAGTCGGATGAGAATCAAAAATTGAAAGCATAAAAAAGAGTCCGTGAAACAGACCTTTGGGAACGGTTAGGATGTGGGTCTTCCCTTCTATGCGGAATTCCCGATGGTTCGCAGACGGATTCAAGAGAACGTTATTCAAGTACCAGGAAATTTGCGGTGTAGGAGAACCGATAATATCCACAGATAGCACGAGTCTTTCCCCGCATTTGAGTATCTTTGATTGCAAAGGACTGATGAACTGAGGATGAATTTGCGGTTCTGCCAAGAAAAACCAACAAAAACGTTATTTTGCGCTCTGATTAGCTTCATCGAATGAAATATAGTTGATTCAGTACCTCGCACATTCAAATCGGCGGTGCTGTTAGCTGAACCAGCGATGTTGCACGCTGTGCAGCAGTACTTTCCAGAGTCTTGAGGAGTAGCTTTTTGAATTATGAGTCTAATTTTTCCTCCATCGTAAGAAATCTGCATGTCGTTGCGCAGAATGACTTCCTTTCCATTCTTATACCATTCGATGCGCGGTTCTGGAACTCCTAACAAACCACAACGCAATCGAATTTTCATCAACAAGATTGGGCTCAATATATGGCTGGGTACTTCCAAACTTTCTCGGACTAATGAAGAAAATTCCGGAAATCCGCTTTGATTCGATGTAAACTTTTTCAAAGTCTTCAACAGGAGCCTTGATTTTTCATGTGTTTCAAGTCATATTTTTCTATGCTTTAAATTTCCTCCGGCTTTTCGAGCTTACGTAACCATCGTCGAAGAAATGAATTCCACGCAATCGTCCTCTTTTTTTCTTTTTCTTTTTTAGCTGGTTTGCTGCTCATGCACATCAGGAAATGTCTCTGAAAACTTTCAAAACAACTTCATCCCAGTTGATGAGCACAACGAATTTTCCTGCACACCTTCATCGCTTTTTCGAAGTTGTCACCCCTTTTATAATACGCAGAAAGTGGTAGAAAACGCATGTGTACAGCTAATACGCCCCTTTTCCAAAAATCAAGTTTCAACTTTAAAATCTGCATTTTTTGTGGCTTGAGAATCAACGGATTGCTAACAAAAGTAGAAAGCAGAATGATCGAAATTGTAAAAAAAGTTTCTCATCTGTTGAGACCCCATTCGAGTTCTTCAGGCAGTCGCACACATTTTATGAAGATTTTCGTTCTTAAAATACCTTCCACTTGTCCTTCGAGAACCACTTGTTCCCCGTCAATCGCGGACACAGCTTTCAAAGGGACGACAAACTTCGGAGGTTCGGTTTCAATTTCTGGGACCGGCAATGTTTCCTTTCTAGGAGCACCCCCAATCATGATTTCTCTGTACGATATCAGTTCACTCTAGCGGGAGAGAGGATCAATTCAGTCATCAAAATTACCGCTAAAATTTCTGACTGATCTTACTTCGTCCTTCGGTTTCTCTGAAGGGGTCGAACTGAACTGAATTGTACTTGTCCATGTTGCTTCTGGAGGTGCTTCCGGATAATCCAGAATCTGAGGTGGTTCTGAAATCAAACACTAAATTACCCCGACGAAGGCAAACCAGCTGAACATTTCTTAATTTACCCGGAATCAGGGCGAGTTTAGCTACGCATGTGGCACGGCCGTATGCATTGCTAGCTATGCATAAAAGGTCCCCACAAAACTCTTTCGTGAAATTTGGAATTTTCATCGTGTACGAATTTCCGTCTTGAGACAATCCAATATTCGGAATGGTGGCTACTTGCTTGCCGCTCAGTTGCAAAGTCACCTGGGAAATCGAGAATATTAATCTTATTTGTTCTGAGTCAGAGATTCACAACCTATGCTTTGCGGAGCCCTCAGGATTTTACATTCATTTCTTAAGGTTAAATACGGAGACATAAAATGAGATTATAATATTGAGGAGCAAGGTGTACAAAAAACAGGCAAGGACTCATATGTCTTTGCCATACCTGAATGTAAAATAAATAACTATGTTTAGTTCGGGATTTGTTGGAAACATTGTTCCAAAAGATATAAATGCCTGAGGCTTATGAAAAAATTGTTTACTGCATGAAAAAAAAATTAAACTACGATTTGTTTAAAAGTATTCAAGATCTCAATCCAAGCTGAGTACGTTTGATTTTAAATAATTTTGTGTAACAGTATTATGTAGACTGCCGTAGGAGGCTTGCTATAAAAAATTCGAAAAAATGTAAGTATGAATAAAAAATGCTAGCAATAAATAGCCCAGACGGAGAGAAAATCTCATTCAACCTGAAATGTCTTCATGAGTGCAAATGCTGGAAAACTCAATTGGAGTTTTAAAAGCAATTGAATTCGACGCACTTTCAAATGGTGCATGGGTATGACTTTTTTCGTTTGAATATTTTGTAAATAAGTTTTCTTTTAAACCTCATTCTAAGAATTGAAAAAACTTCAAGATTTTCATTTCTAGATTGGGCTTCAAACGTTGAGTAATCTAAATTGCTATGAAATTTGTTTTCAAAATTTATACGAAATTAGTTTTCAAAATTTATACGAACTTTGTTTTCAAAACGTATACGAAATTTGCTTTCAAAATTTTTATGAAATTGGTTTTCAAAATTTTCTGCATTGTGTAAAGTGACAAAAAAGCGGGCTTCGCTAAGAAAATAGGATGAGAAACTCTGTTATACGCAACGTGCAAAAGTTTTATTACTTCCGGAGAAGGAATTCCCTCCACAGCGCAGGTCACTTCCAAGTCCTCATTCTTCTGTACGTGCTGATCGGTGAATATTTTAGTGAAACGAGGTGGTTCACCTATCATTTGTTGTTCGAGGATGACGCTATCAGTCGAAGCTGTCATTGAAGTAGAAACAACATTGACATAGGACGTGCATCGCGCGTCTCCCACGGGATTCGAAACTTTGACGACGTAAACACCGCTGTCGTCTTCGCTGACGTCATGAATCGACAGTGCGATTTTCCCATTGGAGTCAAACGTGTACTGAGAAGTTTAAAAAGCTTTAAAGAAATTTAATTTTACCAGATAATAACCAAAGTCGTTGATGTAACCTGGACGCGTGTCGATGGGTGAAGCTCTTTTCCGTCCCGAAACCAAGAAACCACCGGATGCGGGTTTCCGGTAACCCTGCCTTCCAGGCGCAGCATTGACCCAGTAGCTATTTTAACATCAGTCAGCACATCGACGAACTTCGGGGGTTCTTTCGTAATTTGGGCTGAATTACTGGCTTGATTTTTTTCATCCGCAGGAACTGAAAAATAAATTATGAATTCGGCAGCCGATTTGAAATATGTGAAATGACATTCCTCTTCGGATTGTATCGCGTGCGAATTAGAAATGCTTGAATAACCTGACACGCCGAGATGACACATAGTGAAAGCCTGACCGGCGATGTTTTTCGCTATGGCCTTGTAATGCCCGGTATCTTTCTCAGAACATTGCGAAAGCACCAAAATACACCTGTCCCCATCGTACAACGTGCGAGACTCGGCTGAGTCTAGAAGCAGGGTCTCATCTCGATACCACGCAATCTGAAATCTCATAAGTCACCACGTAATTAAGGCCCACGACCGCATAATTGCCTGGCTTTCATACCTGAGGCTCCGGATGTCCTACAAACGCACACTCCAAGGAAACGCGGCTGCCGTCGCGGACGACTGCGTTTGTCAGCGGAATCTTTACCGAGGGTTTAGTTGTCTCCGTGTCGCTTCCTGCTACTTCCGAATCCGAAGTTTCTACAGGAAGACGACCCTTTAAAGTGTGAAACGAGAGATCACAGTCAAGAACTAATTGGAGCTCCCATCAACCGTGTCCTGAGTTCAATTCATTGAGAGGAAACGAAGAAGTGGCCGACGTAATTTTCTATCCGAGCTGCTTAATTTTCTTCTTATTGACTTGAATTTGAAGGGGAAATTCATGCCAAAGGCGATCATTCAGTAAATTATCAATTTTTGAAATCGTTGAATTCTCTCCTCTTTTGCCTACATTTTTATTTTTTTATTTTGCTTTCCGTGATCGAGTGATTTTCTAAATTGATGGGCGTCGAGATTCCGGAATTAAATCTGCAATCTCGGTTCTTTCCGACAATTGTGAATGATTTTTTTTAGATAACGTATTCATTTCTTAAAATAATCGACTATTCGTCATATTTGATTACCAGTATCAGAATTATATGGACAGACAAATTTTCGTTAATCCGAATTCGTTTGTTTATGTTTGTTCCGTTAATTTTCTGAATTAAATAAACTAAATTGTGTTAAGGAATAACGAATGTATCAAAAGACGGGTCTCATACAGCCGTGCGATTTGCTTTTTTTCGTTGAAAGCGCTGAGGAGCAGTCGATAATTATTCGGCAGTTATATTCCAATTGTTTCGAAAGGATTTTATAATCATGCCACACGGAAGCCTTCACAATTGCTGTTGGTTGGTAAATAATACAGTATTTGTTCATCAGGAAAAAGAAAGAGCATCGATTGGAGCAGCATACGGCTTTCGTCGTAGGGTCTGATGACTCGAAACATTCATCCGTGACTGAGCCGAAGAGAAGTAAAGAGATGCTGAAACGACGCGTCCCAAAAGCTCCGCGGCCAGCAAAATGAGCACTGCGTTCGAACAGATCTCCGCATGTTCAGAAAAGTTAGAGGAATAGAAAAAAATAAGCCGAACTGTACTCATTTACGATATCATTGTGCAAAACAATATTGTATTGCATCTGATTAGATACTTTAGTTAATTTTCTGAGGAGTACTTTTTAACTAAGTATCCTTCTCAATAAAGAAATAAAAATTTAAATATCTTCTTTTCAATGGTTCATGCTGAACTGGTTCTGCTCTGACCCTCCCCTATTCTTACAGTGCATTGCATTCAATGTCTTCTACTCGCGTTGTTCTAACACGAGGTGTTTTGGGGCTTGCCTCATTATCGCGTCACCGACAATCAGCAGAGGACTCTAACTGGATAATGCACTTCGATGTCTAGAATACGGTATCGTAAAGCCTTCTCGTGGTTAAGATATCGCTCCTGCGTAGATCGAAATCATGCTCTTACTTTGACGGAAACATTGCAGGAGCTGGCGGCCTCGCCTCCCTTGTTCTTGACAATCACAGAATACGAGCCACCATCCTTTGGATAAGCTTCGGCAATCGTCAGAGATGCAGTGCTCTCGTCGAGAACAAGAAGAGCGTCACGACCATCTCTAACTTCTCGCCCATTATGAAGCCATGACAGGATCATGGGTTGCGTCCCTTGCACTGAGCATTCGAGACAAAGTTTTTTTCCAGCTCGTGTGACCACATTCGTGAGTGGGCTGATGAAACTGGGCGGCTCAACGGGCTTCAGAGCTGTCGGGGACGGCGATTAATAGTTATTACATGGGTATTGCATTACGCTTCATTCCTTCCCAGTCCAGTATTTCTAGATCATACGATAGTTTTCCGGATTTATTCAGTCGTTCAAGACATGTAACCTGCTTATTTAAAGTTTAAGGCCCGCTTTTTAGTTATTTCGTAGTGCAATAAATTAGATTGTATGACTGTGACCGCGTGTGTTTCAGAGTTGCAGCAACTGCAAATTTTACTTTTCAAAGAAAAGTATAATTTTTTCTTTAAAAATCGTTGATGAAAAAGTCCAAAATCTTCTAAAGGCGAAATGGGAGTGAGATTCTCGAAGTCATAAAATAAAGTTGCTTGGAGCATTCTGGATGAAAATATAACCTTTTTTAATTCTAATATACAAGCAGTACCTTATTTGTACAGTATTTCCAACATAGTTTTACTCAGAGGCATGCGCTATAAAAGTGTGTCCTTCACATCCGTTGTAATCCCACGTACCACCTACCAAGTTTTTATTTACACCAAGTGGTACGTGTACAAGTGTGCGCATTGAAAATTTCTCGAACTGTCTCAGTCTGTTTAGAATGAAACACGAAATGAAAAAATGAAAAAAATAAAATGACCGAAATCAACCCCCTCTGATCTTGGCCATTCGAGAGCAGCAAGACAATAAAATTTGTTCCATCGTATAAATGAACGAACACATAACTAAGTTCGCCGTTATTTATGCCTCTGGTGATCAAAACGACCCCACTTTGCTGGTGAGGAATTGCGGCGATTTTTACGGTAAGCATTGCGAAAAAAGCGTTCATTCGTTTTCTAGATGTCGCTTATGCTTACCATCTACCCTCAGTGCTGCTGCTGACTCGGAAGAACCCATAGGATTGGAGGCACGACATGTGTACGTAGCTTGATCCTCAGGAAGTACTTCCTCCAAACGTAGAATACAGTTGCCATTGTTATAGGTAATGATGTAGTCGGGAGAGTTGTCAATGTTGACATTGTCCTTGAACCACTGAACGACAGGTAGTGGATTGCCTTCCACAAAACACGCGAATTGACAGGCTTCGCCTTCTTTCACGTGTTGAGATTGAAGTTCGCACGTAAACTGGGCCGGGACGAGGTCTTCAACTCGTCTGGCCTCTGTGAAACCGATTGTGAATCAAACATGATTGGCGATTTTCCTTCTTTTTTATTTTTTTTTAAATAAAGCTCACAACCTTTGACAACAAGGCATGCTGACGTTTCAGCGACTCCTGCAATATTTTCGGCTTTGCAGGTGAATTTCGCGGAATCTTCCGTGAAAGTCTCATCAATTGTGAGCGAGCAGATTCCATAATTACAGCTTGTCTGATAATCAGGATTGTTATCGATGCTCATTCCATCCTTGAACCAAGTCACAGCCGGTGGTGGTGAGCCGACGACACTATTAAATATTCACGAGCATTGCTTGTTCAGGGAAGAGTAGTTAATAGTTTCGGTTTTCTGGTTAATTTGATGAAAAGCCAAAACCATTTTTGAGTTGTAGTCTTCTCTAAACGGCTCGAGCCAGCGCGTAAAGCGAACAAATTATTCTTTAAATTTCTTTCGAAGGCCGCTCGATGGGATAATTTCATTTTAGCTTACTTTCTGTTATTAAACGCGCAAAAAATCAATGAAAGCAGGCAATTTCTCATAGAAATCTCCCTTTCTTTAGCAAGGGCGCAAGGAACTATGACAGGAAAGCTCAATCGATTGTCATAAGAATGATTTATCTTCGCCATCCCGTCAAAGATGTACAGAAATATTTGAATAAGTGTTAGCCAACCCGAAAAACCCGCTCTAAACTCTAAAGGAACGCGGAAGTTTTGTAGGACTAACTTGATAGTGAGGCAAAATATTCAAAGATAGTATAAACAATCTTGGTGAATTCTCTGCACGTGGGAGAAAAATACTTTTTCTCTACGGCAGCAGTTTCTTTTTCCAGAACCATGGAATTGGATTTGAAAAAAAAAATTGGAAGCCTTAATCTAAGGTTTTATTTTGTTTTGAAGGCATGGGATCCAAGATATACAGTGTTCAAAATTGAGCAAACTTTCATTTTTCTGATTCATTCCGTGCGTACATTCAATCATTGAATTTTCTGCGTGCGTTCTCAAAAATGTATGAGAACAGACTGTTGCATTCATTTTGTTCGATGCACATACGTACGAACCTCCAGACGAATGAAACCAACGAAGCCTTTTCAACTCACCGGCACTCGAAAACGAATTTTGAACCTTCATCGAGCATTGCGTCATGCAGCGGAAGGGTGAATTGGGGTTTCCGCGGTTGCTCTGGCAATGTCGATGATTTACCGTCTGAAGCCGTTGGCTTCTTCAAGCTGAGGGTTTCTTCATGGCATCCAGTGGGAATTGAAGACGTCGCTTTGTCTTCTGAAGTCTTGGTGGTAACGGAGGTCATTTTTCTCACATTCACAGTTTGGGTGTCTCTAGAAGTCGAAGCGAAGGTCTCGTGGGCCGACACGATTTGCTGTACTGACTTGTCGGCTTTTGATTCTTCGTCTGACGCAATCTTCGCCTTGGGGTTGAAAGCTCGCCGTCAAAATGACGGCATTGAAGGAATAAATTAATTTTTTTCCTAACCTTTGATTCGGCTGAAGCTTTTTTGGATGCTAAGCCAGCAGCCAACATTTTTAATTCATCGAATACATAAGCAACAGATGACTTGGCTTTATCTTGGTCACGCAGAAAAGCTTGCGATCGGACCGACTCGAAGACGCCTGAAAGAAGAATAACCCCATCTGCTAATAATTAGCAATCCGCTGGAAGCATGCTTGAGATATATTCCTGAGCTTAGCTTTATACTGTGGTCCAGAGAAAGCTTCCTTGGCACAATTTAATAAATATTTTTATGCAGTGCACGTTCTTCGCATTATCTGTCTATCAAAGAAAGCATGACTAGATACTGTCACCTCGAGCCTCGAGCTGCACTGCTAGTTGTGTAAGCGCAGCGGCCTTGTCCGTCTGCTTGCCTTCATTGTGCACCAGGAAATTTTCGATCTCCGACAGCAGTACACTGATTTCACTCTCATCGAGGCCATACACGCACTTCCTCGCCATGGTCAGCAAGAACTCGTTTCCTTCCTGGGTCCACTCTTTCACCTTTCAGAAACGAAGTCTCGATCAGAAAATACTGTATTGCATTACTTGGTGGATGCTTGGTTCGTTGACTCGTGAAACCTTGCCTCATTCATCAGACGGAAATACTTGACGGCGAGTTCGATGTCGCTGGCAGTTGACGCAACCCGTCTGCTCAAATCGGCCCAAGATTTTTCAACGCAGTTTATTTCGCCTTGCACGTGGCGCTTAAATTCAGGCTGGTCTTCTATGATTTTCTCAGCTGCCCCCAAAAACTTGATCAACAATTCCTCGAATCCCTGCTGAAAGCATGTGCATCAGTTTGCCTGCTAGTTCGATGATAAATTCAATAATAATTGCATTGACTTTGATCAAAGACGCACTTTTTTAAATAGAAAAATAATTTCAAAAGAATAACGGCACAGCTTGTATTGTATGGTGTCTTTTACTTGATGGTACCTTATATTCTCTTGTGATGAGATGGCTTCTGGTCGGCACAATCGTTTTAATAAAAATTTAAGTTCTAAATTGCATTGAACAAATAGAAATTAAATTTTTCATTGACTCGTACACACATTGAAACACCAGTGCCTGTAGCTGAGAACTTTGAGATATACCCTCTTTCATATGCACACGAAGGATGCTATGCAGTAGTTTTATTACTGATGGCGTCTCAAATAAATATTCGTTTAAATAAATCGATTTCGTACCCTCATCCGCCCGCGGAAATTTTCGAAGACAATAACCGCCCCTTCGGCTGCAGTTAGAGAACTTCCACAATCGCGTTTTATCTTGTCGAGTTCAGTAGAAAGATCAGTTAGTTGTTGCGAGATTAAGTGCAGCTCAGACTGAAATCTCGCGATTTGAAGGTGCCTTTCCAAACTGTGCTTCTTGCGTAGGCACTGAGCATCCCATTGACCTTCGTGACGCTTCAGGAGGTCTTTGATGGCGTTCGTGTCTCGAGCTGTCGCTTCTGGTCCGGCGATCTATTTTCGGTTCGAATCAAGTTTCAATAATTTGTTTACACGTGGAATCATAGAGTTCTCGGGAAACATATTTTCTCAATATTTTTGACTTCTGTGCCCTATCTAAAATAAAATCTTAACTGGAAGTACACATGTGGTATTCCTGCAGCCTCCTAAACTGATGCCATTTAGGCGTCGAAATGAGTATCTCACTCATGTTATTTGAGTAGCAAACGTTTTAATGCTTTTTCCTTTAAAAAATTTTTTTTTGCTGGTCTACTGGAAATAAATTCGGATCTCTGGGGGGCCAATGGAAGGCTCGTGCGAACTGAAGGTTGATAATCTCATTTGCTATAAAACAGTATGTTCAACATTCACCGTTTGCATCCTTAGTTTCTCAATCACTTGCTCTGCATCGTGATTTGCAAGGGCATTGAGCTCCTTGATGGTGATCGCGACGTTACAATGGTCCTTGAGAAGACTTTCAATCCCAAGTATGTCGTTCGGGAGATTGTTTGTATCTCGTTGCAGATTTTTCTTGACTCGTTCCATCTGTGTATTGCTTAACGCATGTGATGAGGATCTTGATGGATACTAATTAAATCGACCGGTTTACCTCAGCGATGTTGCTCAGGAATGACACCACAGCGTTCACAATCGCGCTGAACTCGTTCCCTCCTTCATGTAATTTCGTTTGTGCGGATCGCAAGTCATTCAGAAAAATGTCCTTCGCAGCAGTTTCTACAGCTGATTTCATAAACTTGACTGTAGCGATTAGCATCGGCATGCGTTACTAGATCACTTACCTCCGGTTGAAGAAATTGAGTCAGCCTTTTTTCTTAACGTGTCAATATCGTTCGAAATACTCCGCAATTCCATGGCAATCTTTTCAAAGCGGAGTCGAATTTCGGAAATCGCGACGCAAGTTTCTTGGACTTCTTCCTTGAACAAGGGAAACATTTCTTTCGTCTTCTGTTTCGCACGATCCAAAACCTGTGAAAGATAGCTAGTGTTATATAGCTTTAGAAGGGGTTATAGAAAACGTAATTTACTACTGACACTGCCTGCTTCTCGAACGAGCCTGTCCCAACGTTCCCGCTCCTCTTGACCTTTACTGGCGGTGCTTTTGGCGGCTTCCAGGGACGCCGCTATTTTTGTGTACCTGTCACGGTTCCATTGAGTAGCACTTTTCGAATGATGGATTGCGGAATTTACGTCCAAGCTCGAGTCGGAATCTCGCGATTTCTGTTTGAAGAATGAACATCATCAAGGATTTGCGGCTTGCTTCGTGAATGAACTCCCGAGTCGAATGGATTAGGAGCAGGTACCAAGCAGAATCTTTAACAAGCGGAAATCTGTGCTCGAGATTGCTTTCGGAGCTAGCTGGAAGCTGATTTCGTCGAAAGCTGAGGCGTCTGGGATCACAGCGTGAAAGCCCGTAGACCAAGCTCATTTTAAACATTGAAAATCAACTCAATTTTCCGTACGAGCTGCTTTCTTTTCTTTCGATTTTAATGGCAGCATTTTACTGCCGCGCGAGCAGCAGTCAGAAGGTGCGTGACAGTCAGTTTACTTTTTGGCACGCGATGCGATAAACTCGTTTTTTTTTGTGGTGGAACGACTAGCACAGAGATAAAACAGGCCATTCCACACTAAATCCGAGTCACATTAAAGGAGTCTTTTTACTAGAATGAATGGATGAATAGCCCTCACCCTTTCCAAATATTTTGAAAGAAAGTTATGATTTTAAAGAAGTGACACAAGCAGGAGGAATGACTCACCGCGACACCTTCGCAATCCTGAAAACGCTTGCTAACGTTTTCAGTCTGAATGAGGACTTGATTGACAGACAGCAAGTGTTCATCCAGGTTTTTAAGCTGACGTAACAATTCGGATTCCGTGGCTTTAGGCGTCTGCGTGACCTCGAGTACTCTTATTTCATCTTCGATAAGATCCAAGCCACGCGACACGTCTTGGTCCAATGTACAGAACCTTGAAACAACTCAGTTTTTTCACTTGGTCCAGGTTGAAGTTGAAGGTAGGTAAGAAAATAAAACGAACTTGACGAATAAAGTCCCGGCATCGATACGGTGTGCGAAAATGGTGTGTATGTCATCCCAAAGTTCCCGAAGAGATTCCATTTCTTTTTCTGCTAGAACGGCATCTGCCGGATTATGTCTATCCAGTATTCCTGGAAGTGCTTGCGACAAAGCCCGGATTTCATTCCCATGCGACTGAAAGAGCCAAAGAGGAGCAAATAACTCACAGCTGTTTCTAAAACTACCCGTATTTATTATGAGATTCTAGACCAAACTTAACAGAGAAAGACGCTTTGAAAAATCTTGGTGGCTTAAAGTAAGTAAGAACCTACGCGATTTACCCTGTAAGATTTTCTGAAGCCTTTTATTCGGACATCATATTGAAATGCATTTATGGAGAGAACTTCGGTGCATGAGAGGATATCACAGCGGAGACAATACCGGGAGAGAACATGCCTTGAAAGAAGATGCTGGAGGAAAAAGATTCTTTGGTGTATTAACCATTTATCCAAAGTTAAAAAAGATAGTGGTTAAAACAAGAAAAATTCAATTTTTTAGCAGGCCTGACACATTTTTAGCACCCTGTGACATGGGTGAAGAATACTCTGCAGTAACTGGAAAGATTACGCTTATTATGATGCAGTATATTGAAAAAATTGATCTGGAAGAAATCCCAGAACCTTAGCACATCATGGGCTATGTCACGCTCTTTTTTTTACAATCACATCTACTCTAGAAATCGCAGAGGCCGCGTTTAAGTGGGACAACCCTCGTATCGTACTTTGACATGGAGGTTGTTATAGCATTCTGGATTTTTCTTCCATGTGTTTCAAGTCCGAAAATCAAGTTCTGGCATACTGTATTATATGTCGGGCAAATTTTCAACCCGGCATGTTATCCTGATACTGTACATTATTCGCGTGGTTCAGTATCGCTTCAATTTTTACATCGATTTGATCTTTAAAATCTGAACTTCCATTCCGGAGATCGAATGCAATAATTTTATGCATGCATTCGCGATTCGTTTTGGGGTCTATGCAACTCATTTAAACTTTTCCCCGCGCAAGACTACCTAAAATCTGAGTATGGTCTATAAGCGTCATATAATTGCATATACACGGTAATTGCAAATTTTCCAACTAGTTAGCAGCAGTACTTACGATTAGGTCAGGTTGAAAACTGTTGTGAGTTTGCAAAAATAGTCTTGCGCTGTTCAGGTCCTTGCCCATGATGTTATTCGCCCGAAGAACCTTCATCACTTCATTTTCTAGCCAATCTTTTTCCTTCAAAAAAAGTTGTTCGAATCAAGCATCACTCTTGGCCAAAATTGAGGACGCAAAAATTACCCTTTTCAAGGCGTCCTGCGTCGATCGCACTTGTGCACTCATTGCCCGGTTTTTCTCCAGCTGTTCTGAATAAAGCTGTCCGACAGCATTACCAAACTCCATGACGCATTTCATTATGCGATGTATTCCCTGAGAAAATGCATCGTTTAACAATTTGGTTCTTCAAGTTAACTGCGTATAAATTAACTCCTGGATTGATAGCATCAGCTTGTGAGCTACGAAGAAAATGGTGTACCTCGGTCCCATTATTTTCAGCCGCAAAAATTAGCTGATTCCCTTGATCAATTAGCGGTTGAACTATCGCAGACACTGATTGGGCCATTTCAGAGGTGCATTCTTCCGAGTCTGGAACGCTTCGCAAACTTTTCTGCCGCGGAATTTCATTCTTGAGCTGTTTCAGGGTAGTTAGCACCTGAAAAGCAACATTCCGGACGTTAGGCTACGCTGGGGAGCGGAACGTGTCCTCGCGATATTCTCACAGCTTGTGCCTCGTTGTGGAACAGAATCGAATCACCCAGAAGTGTTTTCATGGTGTCAAGGTGGAAAGTTATGCCAGTGATCTGCTCCAGGAGATTGTACGTTTTTTCGCTTCGAGCAGCACTGTCGTCACCTTCTTGGATACCTTGGACACT